AGGACAATCCTATTAGTACGACGATTCATGACACTGCACTTTTTTGGAAGGACGGTCTTATGTTTCAGCACAGAATAGGGGACTTGGATGATTTGGGAGTTGATATAGCATTTACTTTAATTTCTGTCTGATTCAAAACCATTTAGGTAAGCCCTCCAGCTGGCAACTGCTTCCCTCACTCAGAATATGTTGTTCATGAGTCTTGCCTGCCTACAGTCAGTGTCCTGGGAAAGCATGTAAGAGTAAGGACAACTTCTAACTTGGCTGAGCTCGGATCTGCCCCAATGTAGAGCACCTGTAGCAACCACTGGGACTGGTTCAGGCCCCACCAATAAAATGAAGCAGGAACAGGGAATAGATGGATGCAGGTGCATGACTCTGATACCCCTTCCAGTTGAAATGAGTGAGAGGAAAATGAGGAAGTACCCAGAGTTCCAGCAGAAATGCAGAAAGCATTAAGAACAGCTAGGACTTTATAAAATACTCCTTGCAGTGCTTGTTCTGCAGTCGGATACCCAAGAGAAAGAGGCCAGTGTTCTCCCGCCTGAGATGTTTGTAAAACTGGGGTTGTCCTGGGACCACTGCTGCTACAACCAGAGCACTGTGCTGGTGCCTGGTCTCCAGATCCTGGAAGAGGTCCTGCCACCCATAGCCAGCCACCACAACCATCCTAGTCTCCCGCAAAGTCTGTCTCCCAAAAGGATTGCCTCCCTCCCTTCCAGGAAGCAGTGCCAGGGGCTATTGGTATTACTCAGGCATATTTGCTGCCACCTGAAGCCCCTTTCAGAGGGGTAGCTCCTGCAGTGCTAGAGCTGGTGTCCCTTTGCCATCTCTGCTCTGTCCTGTTAGCGTGCTGCCCAGGCCACCAGCATGCTGTCCCTGTTAGTGCGCCCACGCTTGCAGGCCGCATGTCACACTGCACCGGCATCTGTGCTGATGAGAAAATCTGCTGTTTTTCAGCTCTCCCACCTATGAAATAGTGATAATAGCATGCGTTGACCTGCTAACGGTGTGGCTAAATACAGGCATGTAAAGATTCAACAGAATTTGGAAGATGTATGATCCAAAGTAGGGCTAAGTATCATAGTTATTTTAAGGCCTATCATTTCACTTTGCTTGACATTTGGCTCTTTCTTTTGGAACCAGGTCTCTTGGTGAGAGCAAGCATTTCTTGGCAGGAGATTTATGACAGGAGTTTCATTACACACAAAGGCCAATGACTGCGTAACATTTTTGGAAAATGTTGTCTGGGGCAACCTATCATGGAACTGTCTTTTGGATTATTTATTTTGGCTGCAATCTTTCTACTACTACTAACACAGGAGGTACTTCATTTAGTCTCAGCTAAAAATGAATGCAAAATCAGGGTTATTCTTATCCAAAAATACTTATCTATTATAAAGCATTTTATATGTTGCAGACCAAGACATATTCAATGCTCCAAACTATTTACAACAGGGTAATTAACGGATGCATATCTTAGTCCAAAAGTCTGGATGAAACCTGAATTGCCCATTCTTGTTTAAATCAATCACTCTTCTGGAACCAGCTTTTCACCAAAATCCTTTGCAAGAGATTTACACTGCATGAAGACAAACAGCTGAACTAGTCTCTGGCCTGAGGGCTACAGAGCACCAACATGCATGTATTCCTGATCACATGATCCAGCAACACGAAAAGATTGCCAGCACCAAATACTGCGTTTCAGCTACACACAGTGCGCAGCAATGTCGAACAGGCTTATCAAGGCAGTAGTCAAGGAAAGGAGATAACCTATAGGTAAACTATGAATATATGGGTAAATAAGTATGTGTGTTGCAAGGACATGCAAAGTGTTTATTAAACGTTCAGTCTTTTGTAATACACCTATATGAACGGACAACATAAAGAAAATTCCAGCTACAGTGATGGGCATCCCCAGTGTGACAATCACTGAAGGAGCCTGAGGAGAAATGAGGAGTTGTGAGAGTTGAGGCATGAGATGAAGAAACAGAAATATGAAAAACATGCCTTGGTTTCCCATCCCAATGCAATCCAGCAGCGGGACAGCAGAGGAACAACAGCCATGCAGAGCCTGTGGAAAGCAAAACTGGATGAGGAAACAGGGCCATAGTAGAGGGAAAGGATAAGGCAAGAGTGTGTCAGGCAAAAGAGACTCTGACTTTGTGAGCTATTGCCAAAGCTCTGCCTATACTGAGTTGCCCTGCTTCCCCGATGGAGCAGATTTCATCAAATAGAGTATTATAAACAGGCATAAGGGAGCCTGATTTCAAAAACAGCCACTACTGAATATAACCTACATTATGTAGTACCACTAACTATTACTTCGGCTATCCTGAAAGTCCACTGGATGACCGTGTTTTCTGTGGTAAAATATTTTTCAAATTTAAAAAATTCAAACTTTTCATGGCAGATGTCAGTCTCAATATGTATTTTAATTTTCGATATCTTGGTCATTTCTAAGAACATTATTTTGTTCCTGGCAAACAAATTACTTTTTTTTTTTTTTTTTAATATATATATATTTTTCTTTGTGATCTCTGCTGTGTAGGCAGAATCTTAAATTTTGGCAAAAGAATGACTGTTGTGTTAAGAACATTTGTCATCCCAGTGAAAATAGTGTCTTGACTACATGGACCAAGTTAACAATACAGGATAAGCAGAGACTTTCACTATCTGTGGCCTGGTCCACCAAAAGGATGACAACCCCCACCTTATATTCCAGTGTTCCCCCTGCTCCTAGCAGTACAGGAGCAGGCTGCATAAGTTAAAAGTTTCAGCCCTACTGAAGATTCAACAGCTGTCTTGACAAAGTCATGGACCAGCTGTTCTAGGTGACCCTGCCTGGGTTGGCGGGGTTGGAGTAAATTATCTCTAAAGGTACCTTACAACATTTCTGTGATTTTAATAGATGCTGATGCCAAAAGAATTTCTTAACTCCTTGAGTTTTCATGTGCCTGTTGTCAGTAGAGTTTGGCAACATAGAGTAAAGATGTCTAAGCTTGGAAATCACATCAGTTCAGAAGTGGATGCAAGCAGCCAAGCAGCACAGTCCCATGTGCAATGGGTGTTTTGTTATAGCAGCCATCTAAAAACTAAACAAGATCAAGTTGTTGCGTCCAAGTCCAATGTGTCAAGTCCTCTAGATTCCAGCTATCATCAATGGGCAAAACGACGAAGGGTGATTCCTTTCATATTATGATACATGTCTAAAATATGAGAGAGGTCACTCTGTGGAGACACCTGTTTCCCCTCCTGACTAAAAAGATATCTAGAAGAATATCATTGACCAGAATTCCTAGCTTCTAGACAGCTGCATTTAGGCGAGATAAAATCCATCCAAAATGTAAGGCCTATTAGCTTGGGCAAAGTGCCTAATTAATTGGCTGTACTACTTTCCTGACCCAATGCCAGGTTCAGATTTCTGCCAATTTAAGTATCTCTTTTCCCAACTCCATTATTCAGAATGAAAATGCCCTTAAAGAAACATTACATGCAAAAAGCTCTCCACTATAGGATAAAAGACTGTGAAATAAGCTGATAAAACAGGAACGTCAGCTTGCTAGGGCTAGTTTGTGTTGGCCCCGTCGTGCCTTTAATAATGTCTTTAGCCTTATAATGACCATATATTTTCCTCATGATCTCAACTGATATCCTGCACAGGCTGAGTCGAATGTATAGAGAAATTATGATGGGGTAGGATAGGCTGACACTTGTAAAATTGCATTGAGAGATAAAAGAGAGAAAACTCAGTCATCTGTTAATGAGCATTAAGATAAAGGCTGTGAATTGAATACAGGTAGAATCCTATACAAAAAGAACTCATTACTTGTATAATTAAAGACTGTATCATACCTAGAATTGACCAGGATGGGGTTTTTTTAGTAACTCAATAAATACTGATGTATCAAAACTGTTGAGGTTTGAGGGTGAATTTCCAGACCAATAATATTTTGTGAGGGAAAAGAAAAGAAAAAAAAAAACCCACACCTCTAAATGGAAAATAACAGGAATACTTTTCACTAGAAAATCACAGCATACAAAAGAATTAAAGTAAAAAAAAAGTTTGAAATAAAAATGAAATATTTCAATTGACAAATGCCTTCTTTATCAGATTTTGAGGTCATACTATTTATTTAGTTTTCAATTTTTACTATTTATTCACTATTTAGTGGCTCAGTTAACCACACAGTAACCGCTACAGGATGAGACAAGCTTCTGCTTCAGGTTGTTCAGTAGGTTCAGGTCTTTTAGGGACAGGCTCCTGTCAGGATGTTCTTTTCCATATTTAGAGGATCTGAATCACAGTTGCATAGACAACTTTAAATATTACCTAGTTTTTGAATTTCTCTGCAGGCTTAATAAATTATCTTATAAAATTGGACTTTCTTGTGTCCTTAAGCATATCTTCTCTAGCATCAGCATGTTTTATCTATTCACAGCGTGCAGAGCAAATGCATGCTGTGATTTCTGACTGGGGCTATCCTAACTCAGGCTAGAATACATCTTATTTAAGAACCTAATTTATGCTTTACTTTCAGTCATCTGTTGAATCAGTCCTCCAAAGTAAGTGCCTCATTTATCTGTTTATCTAATAGAGAAAGGGTAGATGCCTTTTAAAGTAAAAGGATTTCCCACCCAGAGGCTTTCGAAAGCTCTCCTGACTGTAGGAGGAACATCAGCACTCGCTTTAGCAGAATGAGATCATTAGGCATCTAAAATGTAGGCGCAGGTGGAACATGTGTGTGAGAGACTAGTTTCAACTTCATAGGGCCTTTCTGCTTGGTGATCTTATCTGCTCTTTACCTAATGCACGGTACAAAATGGCACCTGATGCATCTTTACAAGTCCATTATGAGAGAGGTAAGTCTTATTTGTTCCCATTTCATAGGCAGAAAATTTGAGGTAGTGACAAATGCAACGGAAAGAATTGCTGAATCCTACTTGCTGCAGTTCATGGGACAAAGCAGTGGGAACAGCAGCTGCCAGCCCAGACTCACCCTCAAAGGCTTCGTTGATGACTCCACTTGCTGCCTTGCTATCTTCAAGGCAGTGGATGAAGCACAGCGGAGAGTGTCTTATCTCTTGCAGTTTGTCCTGAATGTGAAAGAAAGTAGGTCTGTTGTGAGGTTCTTGGGCCCAGCATCTTGTCATTAAATCACATCTGGAAAAAAAATTAAAAGAGGAAAATACAAATATTAAAGATATTAAAGATAAAGATATTATTAAAGTTAATTGAATCATTCATCTCCAAACACAAATCATTAAATCCTCTGACAGGCAAGTCAGATTTTCAATGGCCAAAAACTTCATATATGGTGCAATGATTTTCACTAGCTTGTGAAAGAAGGAAAAACAAATTTAAGGTCAGTTGTCAGGAATACATACTACATGCTTTTAATTTTACAAAGCTGGATATTTTTGAGATTGGGAATAGCTGTTACTTTTTTTGGGGGAAAAAAATAAATAATAGACATTTTTACCAGTAATATCTGCTCTTACTAAAGAAGTCACCAGTATTTTCAGTGGAAGAAGATAAGGGAGCTCAAAAAACAGAACTGAAATTGAATTTGTGCCACCTCAACCTCAGAGGATGCTTGTGGCAGAATCCAGCACAGAAGGGAGTAATTTAGACCTCTGCTTCCCGTCAAAGGCAAAAATGGTGTAAGTAAGTTCCCTGAGGATTTAGGGGAAACCTTGCCCATCCTGCACAAAACTTTTGGTACCAGAAAAACTGCCCTCCCTGTCTTTCTAAAGGATAGTGCTGATTTATATTTCTTACTTGAGAGCATGAACTGTAGCAAGTCCCGGCTGCACAAAACCAAATCCTCCAAAAGCCAGAGTGAAAACCAAAATGCAACCAGCACCTGGGCATGCTAAGTGTTCAGAGAGGAGAGATGTGTTAGGATTTCAAAACGGGGTCTGTAGCATTGAGCAGTTAGTGAAAGGGTGATTCAGGAAGCTGTTAAAGGAATGCAGAGTATTCACCTCTAAGCCGTAAGTTCAAATCCTTCTCTGACAAGCCTCATCTAAGGCAGGCTTACTGCTATGTGATACCAGAGATTAGTGAGTTATGTGAACTGAATTGGCTTGCTCAGGTCCTCAGTTGTCCCTCTGAAAAGGATTGAGACTACCGTCCTTTCCCAAAGATGGATATTTTACAAAATTCTTGATGACAACTGAGAATCTTTTTAACTTCAGGGTTTTTTTAATGATATTTTTCATGAAAACTTTGGATTTGAATGAAAATCATGCTTATAAAATTTGTTTTAGAACTATTTTTCATTTACCTCTTCCATTTATTGCAGATCTGGACAGAATGGTTCTGTTTTGTTTCCAAACAACTCAATGAAATCTCGACTATGTGTTTTAAGAATTTAAAAAGTGGTAGACCTTGAATTGCTTCTACTCCTTGCTTACTTTCAGCGGTACTAGTTACTGATGTCACAGAAAATACAAATGAAAAGTATTAAATGGGACTCAAAACAAAGTGAAAGAGCCCAAGAGTTTTCTTCTTCTGACAGCAAAGTGTTGCTGCCACACTGAATTCTAAAGTCAGTCCTCATTGCCAGAAGCCAAACAATTTGCTTTCTAGTCATCTGCATGTTCATGATGAAAAGAGGAGAATATCAGTCCAGGAACTGTGCATAGGCTCTGCAGAGCCCCATGCAAGTTGTAGCAATGTAATAAAACAGCGTTAGAACTTAATGAATACGCTCCTGCTCTAATGGAGAGAAAGAAACGGACAGCTATAAGTCAAAGAGGAAGCAATATGTACATCATTTAAGAAACAAGAGTTTGACAGATATAAGTCCTGAATAGTTTTGCATTTCTAAGACCAACTTTTGTCTTTTTAAATAACTAAATTTTTAAACCAAATCTACTTCACAAAGCCATTCAGGTTTGTTACTTATTGTTGCTAACAGTCAGAACTGGAATTTTCTCATTTTAGTTATACTCCATGTTCTTATGTCCTGAACCAAATTATTTGCTGGTCGGTTTGAAATATTAATTAAAAAATGGATATTTTCCACAAAGAATTTAATTCGGGCAGGTTTTTGTTTTTTAATAACAAAATTCCTTCTCAGAATGTATCTGCAACTTTTGCAGTGACAGATATTTTCAATGTGATATTTAGCTTTTAAGGCTGGTTGTGACAGCCAAAGTTTTAGGTCACATGGCATAAACTTTCACTAGCCTAGAAATGCAATACAAGAGATTGATCAAGAAAGTAAAAGCCAGACTAATATGCCATGCCATATATAAAAGACAGCTGAAGCACATTCCTGTATTTTTTTTCGGGGTCAGACATGGACTAGCAAATAGTGAATTCTCTCAGTATGACAAAGAAGCTCAGAGGATTTCCCTAATTCACTGGGAAAGCCTTAGAAGAGGAATTTGAAAATAAAAAATCCAAACACAACCGTAGGTTTATGATAGGTTTAAGAACCTATCTGTATGCCTAGGTGTACAGCCGTACACCTGAGCTTTATTGTGTTGTGTTTTATTGGGGCTGGACAACAGGTAACAAAGAATCAACAAAAACCAAAGAATTGCTATTGGCTAACTATTACAGAAGATTCAAAGTGAATTATCCCTGAAATTTTCTTCAGGAGTATATGTGAAATGAGCTTAGTTCATTTGTGCCAGGCGTGAATATCTGACTACAAAATGAGTGCCATGCAAACACTTGATTCCTGTTTCAGTCAATGTGAGCTTCCTTGTAGGCCCCTGAGCCCCTTTTCCAATGTATTACAAAACACTACCTGCTCCACACTCTACTGCATGAAAGATTATTTCCCTGGAGCAGTAATTTGGGAGGAGAGAGGAAGAATGACTTCCCTCGCCCCCCACACTCCCAACCACAATCCCACTTCCTTAATGCTGTCTTACGTCCCAAGGTTCCTGTGTCAGGCCTGCTTGCCCTTGCAACATAAGCCTACCACAGATTCCTACACACTTCTCAGCTGAAGTAGCTTGGCCTTTGAACTCTCTTCCTATCAGTGATGGTTTGTTTTGTCAAACGACAAGGAGCAAGCCAAAGTGCCAAGGAGACAATTACCGACTGCTGATGTCCTGATGCAGGTTCAAAACCACAGGGCGGGAAACAGGAATGTCAAGAATCCTGGCATGCCATTAATGACCAAACAAAGTAGCAAAAAGCTATTTATGCTACTGACAGGAGCTGCATGCAGGTGCTGAGTGTTCACCAAACCAGATAAAAGACGGTACAAGAGTCTAAGAGTTCTTTCAACCCCTTGGCTTTCAAAAACAGGGTTACTATGATTAGGTCCCGAATTCTACAAGTTAAAACATGCAGATCAACCTTTAAGACCTACCGGATCCTCCCTCTTAAACTAATTTTTAGATCAGGACTTAAGAACTACTTCAATCAAACAAAGTTTTCAGGATTCTTCTGAAGATCTTGCCACTCTTTTTAAAGGTAGCTTATGAGTTTCTGTGTGGGCTTGAATAACGAACAAATACACGAATATACTTTATCAGGTGTATTTTTTATTCATGAGACAGTCGCCAGGAATTTTTTGAGGAAAAAAATCCCAGCAAAACAATATTGAAACCAAAATTGCTTCTCATTTGCTCTGTCATTTCCAGGTCTCCCACTGCTCTGAATGCAAAATCCTAATGTCTTTGGTTCTTCAGCTCCTCTGAGTGATAAAAGTTTTGCTCTTGTTGTTAATATAGCGTTTCTGATATCCCTACATAAATATCCCTGCATATCCCTACAAGACAAATTTTCACCAAATCTGGAACTTGAAACATTGTAATTGATGCAAGACCTGTCAGAGGAATCAGGTTTGCCAAAAACAGAAATATTTCCTGAGTGGCAAGAGTAAGAGTTTTATCCTTTAACTAGCTTCTCCTTCCATTCATAGGACCAGCTGTAAAGTGCATTTCTGTTCCTGCTTATGCAGCGTGGGCGATATAGGAATTGAGACATGAAATTAGATATTAGTGAATGATTAGCAGGATCTGGTTCAACTTCCTCCCTCATATACTTCTGAATAATATGTGTTTGATACACTACATATATATACCCATACATATACCCATACATATACAGGCATACTATTTTTTTCTTTTAATTGCATTTGAATTCTATGCTCAAGAAACAGTTGGACATTGAGTATTTGTTCATCCAATTCCGCTAAATACTAATCAGAAGTGCATTATCCCTTGTTTCTTTGATCCAGTTATCTTTTTCTGTACAGAGGCTTCCCAGCTAAGAAAATGCAATGCCTTCACTAAACAGGTTAAATTTGGATATTAAAAAAAATACCCTGAAAGCACTCTTGGCACACTTGGCCTGTTATCAAATTAATACAGATTCAAGCCCACAACTTAATTTACGTTACCTCTGAAATTCTGTTAAAAAGAATAGTATGCATCAACCTTTTAACTTAAATTTCATTTTATCTGTCACTGAATTCCTCACAAAACTCAGTCTCACTCAAAGGTTGCGTTACCGGACGAGCTGGTAGAAGGCTAATGGCTACACTTGCAGGCTGCTTTATCTGAAGAAAAACGAAGGATGTTAAGCTCTGCATGGGCCTAAGTAGACATTTAAAATTATGGTCACTTGGCAATTACCAACAATATTCAAACAAAGTTAACTTACAAGTCATCAGGACAATTGCTTGGAGATTCCAGCCTTCCTCCTGATTGTACATGGTGTAAAACTTCAGTATTGGAGAAACCTGGATATGGCTGTTGACCCAAGGTTAGTGTTTCCCATACTAAGATTCCAAATGCCCTAAGAAACACCGTCAAACAATTTTAGTTACCTTAGTGATCACGAACAATCTCCCTACCAGCAATTATCTAAAATGTCTCAAACCTAAGAATAAGGTTTAGTTAGAAAAAATGAGAGTAAGCGGTTCTAACTTTGTGTGAATCAATCCTCACATCCTTAAGCCAGCCCTGAAGACAGCTAAAGTAAATATGCAGAACCAAAATACTTTTCCAGACTCACTGAGATACATTTTAGAAAACTGATCATTCACAGCTTCTCTAGCTCCACTCATCTGAGCATGTCCTCACTTAAGCAAGTGTCTAGGTATCTCTAGAGGTGTCACTGGAAATGGAGAGCGCTACAAGTTCTCCAAAGCACCACTCACGAAACAATCAGCACCTCGTAGGTTTTGGTACAGAGAACTAAATGCTTTTCTTAGATAAAAATGTACGAGTGGCAGTTAAATGGTTAGGTTGCAAGGGCTGAAGACTTACATAAAAGTTGGATGTGCCACAACCTACTCATAAGTGCCTATATCTACCTATGCCTATATCTAAACCTATGTGAATTTCAGATTTAAGGGATCTGGGTTTTTTGTTTGTTTGTTTGTTTTCTATGCATCCTGTCAGAGGGTCTCTGCTTCTTCACTATAAACTCACTTCAACTATCCCACTGCAACAAAGTGCTATGACCTTCCCCTTGCTGAGAAATTTGGGTCCAGTTAAAGGCCTAATGAAATCTACAAGCTTAAAAATAAGGAAGGCAATAGAAAAGGGTGAAACTGAAAGGGGAAAGTATTTGCCTGTAGGAAAAAATGCCACTTAATCTAATGGAAGGTTGAATGGAAAGAACAAGAAGTTAGTAACCAATTCACAGACCAAACAAGGAAAAAAAAAAA